GAGCTATTCGTATAATACATCTTATTACCCAAAATGGAATCGTGTACAGGAGCTGACCCAAGCTGTAATAAATAACTTTAACAGATACATCAGAACGAGAATATGGGAAATTAAAACAATATATCCTTGGCTTGTATTATACTGAAACTATACGAGACAAGAGACTAGAAGTTACTAGTATAACAAATTTCCTTACTCAAATGGTATACAGTAAAGGAGGCGATCTGAACTTGAGTGAATAATCCTGACGGGAGTTACCACAATGAAAATATTATGCAGGAGAGGGAGGGAGGGAAAAAACTTCACACACACAGCAACAGTCACCGTGGTGAATCGAATCACCTGGAGATTAGCCACCCCAGCTTATTTCACCTGATAATTAAACACCCAGACGTTACTTCGGGTATTTGGTTATGTTTGTTATGTTAGTTAAGATATGGTTAAGTTAAGTTAAGTTAGGTTAGGTTAGGTTAGGTTAGGTTAGGTTAGGTTAGGTTAGGTTAGGTTAGGTTAGGTTAGGTTAGGTTAGGTTAGGTTAGGTTAGGTTAGGTTAGGTTAGGTTAGGTTAGGTTAGGTTAGGTTAGGTTAGTTAGGTTAGGTTAGGTTAGGTTAGGTTAAGTTAAGTTAAGTTAAGTTAAGTTAAGTTAAGTTAAGTTAAGTTAAGTTAAGTTAAGTTAAGTTAAGTTAAGTTAAGTTAGGTTAGGTTAGGTTAAGTTAAGTTAGGTTAGGTTAGGTTAGGTTAGCTTAAGGTAATTAATCTTAGGGTCTAATAAACTCGGAGGGGCTAATTTTCAGGTGATTAGAATTATCTTTTTGCAACTCTCTTTTGTAACCTCTACTTTATCCATGACTCTCTCTCCACCTATTACCAATAATTCCCGCTAAACATGTCAAGTAAATTGGCTTCTAATTCCTTCAGCAAATTCACTTACAGACAAAAGATTTCAGGTCCTGATTCTCAAAGGTCGTAAGATGATTTTTTTTTTATAATTGAAGATGTGAGATTCATTTAACTGTTTTACTTAAGATAAAATATCAAAATAATGCCTGAAAAATTACACTGAGATCTCTACCTCAACTAGATTCATTCACTGAACACTTTTGGAAAATATTATGTAAGTTAATTGTTTCATCTACTTAAAATCTCGACCCCTTATTTATCTTCTGCCCATTCAATCAAGTTTTTTAAGCCTAATCCACTTTAAACCCTCAACACAATCTTGATGTTCACGTATGATTTTCCACCGGTCTCAAACCCTTCCTCAAATTCCACTACCATTGCCTACTCCTCCATCAAACTCCACTACAATAGTCTGCTCCTTCCTGTCCCTTAGACTCCACTACCACAGTCTGCTCGTCGTGCTGAATCCTTCAAGGCTTCTGTCGTCTGCATACAGATACGCGTCGAGTTCCAATCTCCTGCATTATTCTCTGAGCCATAGTGGGCGTGTTTTAAGGTCTCCAAAAACAGGTTATACTGCCGTCATATTCTCTGATGTCATTCGTTCATAAAGTCACGGCGCGTGATCTTTTACCTTCGTGTTTGCAATAAACTTTTCCTCATGCTGCATACTGATTAAGTGACATATTATTTATTTTTCGGCTCCACCAATGGAGAGGCAAGATATAAATAATGTTGTAAGTGAAGGAGATTAATTGGCTGTGACATTAGAGCGTAACGGCCTATACAAGACATGTCACAAACCAAACAAGTTTATAAACTATCATGAAACAGGTGATAGGCTCCCGGTCACTTGGCCGACAGACGTTTGGCCGAAGGACATTTGGCCGAAGGACTTTTCACCGACGGACATTTGGCCGAATGGACATTTAGCCGAATGGACAAATGGCCGAACGGGCATTCACCGACAGATAAATGGCCAAACAAACAACCTAACCTAACCCACCGTTTGCCGTGTAGTTTCAAAACTAAGAAAAGAGCAATCGGACTGGGAGTTGAGGAAACCGAAGAAGTACCAGATATTAAACACAAGACTGAAGTCTGTCATTGAGAAATATGAGGAGTATCCCAGAATCGACTTTTGAGAGCAGTTCCCACAAGCTTTAAATATTTATTAACATTTCGATTCATTCAGTATTTTTTATAAAGCAAATACATTACAATTAATATCTTCTATCCTTTAGTAAATGTGCAAAAAAGAATTTTCTATCATGCAAATGTATCACATTGCAATTATGTTATCTTTTTATCCTGTGTTTTATAAAGCAAATACATTGTAAAGAAGAAAGAAAAAGAAAAAAGAAAAGAAAAAGGCCATATGTCCATTCGCCCAAATGTCCGTTCTGCTAATTGTCCGTTCGGCCAAATGTCTGTCGGCTCAATGCCCGTTCGATCAAATGGTCGTCGGTGTAAAGTCCGTCGGTCAAATGTCCTTCGGCCATCTGTCCGGCCACGGTTCATCCTATATGAACCTTTCTTCCAATAATGAAGCGTAATGAAATCAAGAACATAAGGGCTATAATGATATAAAATCAAAAGAATAAAGAGTATATACGTAATTATCAAGTAGAACCAATACAAAAGATATTACACCCTGACAAATTGAATATTTTTGGCTCATAAAATACTAAAATCCTTCTACAGCTTGGATCAATTAAACACAACGAAACAACTCTCAACACAACCACTCATAACACAACAACACTCATAACACAAGACTCTTAACACAAAAGAACAACAAAACTCTCAACACAAGAGCACTCTTTAACACAACACAACAATTTTTAATACAACAACTCAGGCGGTAGAGGCAACACCACACCGAAATTGAATTGGAAATCGGTGAGTATTTCAACTATTTCACTTTTGGTTTAACTGATGGCTGGACACTACTTTACACGCTGTGTATTAACCAAGCGAAGGGAGTATTATCCGAACAAATGGGAATATTGTCCTAGCAGTGGAGTATTAACCGAACAAACAGGAATATTGTCTTAGCAGTGGAGTATTATCCGAACAAAGGTGGAATGTTGTCCTAGCAGTGGAGTATTATCCGAACAAAGGGGAATATTGTCCTAGCAGTGGAGTATTAACCGAACAAAGGTGGAATATTGTCTTAGCAGTGGAGTATTATCCGAACAAAGGGGAATATTGTCCTAGCAGTGGAGTATTATCCGAACAAAGGGGAATATTGTCCTAGCAGTGGAGTATTATCCGAACAAAGGGGAATATTGTCCTAGCAGTGGAGTGTATTGTCCTAGCAGTCCGAACAAAGGGGAATATTGTCCTAGCAGTGGTGTATTATCCGAACAAAGGGGAATATTGTCCTAGCAGTGGAGTATTAACCGAACAAACAGGAATATTGTCCTAGCAGTGGAGTATTATCCAAACAAAGGGGAATATTGTCCTAGCAGTGGAGTATTATCCGAACAAAGGGGAATATTGTCCTAGCAGTGGAGTATTAACCGAACAAACAGGAATATTGTCCTAGCAGTGGAGTATTATCCGAACAAACAGGAATATTGTCCTAGCAGTGGAGTATTATCCGAACAAAGGGGAATATTGTCCTAGTAGTGGTAATACAGTGAGATACGTGGCAGGTATACTACCGTCGTGGTTCTAACACTTGATATACTGATGACGGAACAGAAACACTGCTTTCAGGCTGGGAGTTACTGTATTACTGTACACAGGCGATTATTATCTGGATTAATTTTTGTACCCTGGGATTAGTATTGTACTCTACCGATTATTATTAGAATTATTACTGCACTATGCTGATTTTTATTAGGATTATTACTGTACTTTGGGAACTATTACAGTATAAAGCTCTTGAAGCTGTTAACGAATTATACAGATTGAGACACTAGCCTTCTGTCCCCGGAGTCACTAGTTCACGCCCTGGACACCCTCAGTCCACCCAAACTATTCAGTCGGAGAAATGAAGACCATCAAGTGCAGTATCTCTTTATATGCCGAGGTGTGCCGTAGCCTTCTTCACTCCCTGACAGAACCAGTTACGTTATGACGCCAGGGTAACACACTGTCCACCCGAGACTAATTTGGTCAGCCTCAGTCACATTATAGTGGCATTTATATCACAGCAGTACACAATTCTCTTGTGGTCACTGCAACCTATAATAAGAAAATGAAAACGGGAAAGATTTAGCTTGAGAAAAATTCAATAACTAATTAAAATTGTCCACCATTCTTGACTCTTCTGATTAGTATTAGTTAAACTTAACTGATTCTTCGGATTATTAGTTACACCTAAATAAATCATAATTACCTTCTCTCAGTAAGTGAACAATTATCAGTCATAGTCACAACCCTTAACAAACACAACTCGATGTTTATGTAAAATAACTTTTCATGAAATCACCCTGGTAATTTCGGAATATCCTAAGATTGGTAACCTAAAAAAAACCGAGCATTGTGTGAGGAACGGAAGTGGGTGAGTGACGCCTCAACCCCAGTACACTAATCGGAGTGACTGAATGGAGTGAGTGACGCCCCAATCCCCTTGACACTAATCGAAGGTGAGGGACGAAAGTGAATGACGTCACTGAACTCCAAAACGACTGTGTGATGAAAGGTAATGAGTGAAGAGTAACACCTCAGCATCTGGGTCACGGAACGAGTGAGTGAGGTTACTGGTAGTGGACTGACCTAACAATGTTGACGTTATTGGTATAAGTTTCTCCATTACTTTAAGTAGTGATTGAAAGACCAGACAAGTGTAACTGTCAAATCCACCCTCCTCTTACCAATGACTGATAGGGTGAAACCGGATGATTTAAACTGATGGAAGTTATATGACTCCAGGAAAGCACTCAGAGGCAGGGAGTTTCATACGTATACTTAAGGTCAGTGTCCGCTTAACGTACACTATGCGTTCCTGAAATCTAATACGTTAACTGAATGTATGTTAAGTGAATGTACGTTTACGGACACTGACTGTATATACTATGTAATATTGGTGTTCCCTTCAAAAGCCACAACAAAACAAATAAGACGCACCACAACACACAAGACTTACCTTAACATGTAGAAGATGACGCCCTTGGGGTTGATCCTAACTAGCACGTTAGGTACTGTGACGAACTGAAACTCAGCGTGTTTGGCGTTGGGGAAGTAGACCTCAGGCTTCCAAATGGCCTTCACTAGGTTGGGGTCGTTAAGGTCCAGCGGTTGGGTGATGTTGTCGTGGTTGAGGCGCTCGTCCACCCACGTCTGTCTCAGGTAGATGTCCACCTGGTAGTCCTGGCAAGATAGATTTTTCACATAACCGGACAGTCCTCTAAAAACTTTTACCAGTAAAAAAAAATACACATTGACTATATTAATCTATTACATGTGTGTGACCAGGTACACAACAGCTGATATTTTTGGTGGCGGCACTGGTCGTATCTACCGCTGTACAGTATATAATAATGGTTGCTCCTCGTGTAACGAGGATGGCCGGCCAAGGGCCACCTAGGAGTGAATTTGTTAAATGGGTAGAAGCTGTCGCCAACACAACAACTATACCCTAAGTTAGCGAGTTGCATGACCCAGTGTCAAGGAATAGTCCAAGAAGACCGGACAACTCGACAACTGCTCTGGCTAACCATTACCCCGGAACACGATCCGCAAATCGATTAACATCCAGGTCCCCAATTACTGCTGGGAAGACGAAGGCAAATGGCGTAAAGGAACTTGCCCATAGTTCCACCCTGCTCAGGGGACGAACCCTGGTCCGCTCGCTTGAGAGGCTAGCATGCTGACCACTACACCACAGGTCGCCACGACCGGTAACTCATTCCACTGCTTGGACCTTACAGCCGCTGTGCTCCAGGCAACTGCCACTAACACGTCACCACTCATTCAAATCAATGGCAAAACCGATAACATAAATCTGAATGATATTAATCCGTGAAGTATCGGACACGACCCTAACACCAACTGCCACATATCTGCCATAAACTGTATACTCTAAAACGGTTAACCATATTTTCCTGTTAATAAAGTGTGTATTTATAGGACATTAATGCATATTGATCTCCCATCATACATGAAACCAACTAATTTCAGTGATGTTGATCATATACCATTGTACCCTAACACCAGTGTGTGTGTGTGTGACAGAGAGAGAAAGTAGAAAACAGAAATAAAAAAGAAAACATTCGAAATACATAATAAATTAATGAAAAGAGGAAAAACAGAAGAAAATGATTCAATAACTCAGATAAACAAGTCGAAGGAATACGTGGAGAGAAAAATGTACAATTGGATGACAAAAATTGAGTATAATATAGTATCGGAGAATCTGATAATTAAATATTTGTATCTAATTAGTAGTGGAGTAGGCATGAGGGGGGGGGGGGAGAGGAAGGAGAAGGAAGGAAAGGGCATAGAAAAGAATGGGAATGTAGGAGTATGGGGCGAGGTGGGGAAGGAAGAGGGAGAGGAAGCAGGATAAGAATAGTAGGAGGAAGGGAGGGAGGGAGGGAGGAGGGTAAGGAGGGCTACATTACCAGCCTCAACCGGAATTTCATGATGTTTTGTACATGATTATTTTATTCCTACAATAACAATACCCTTAAAATATATATATCATCTTAATCATAGTAGGAATTAATATAATTGATAGTATTGTCAAGTACATTTTTCACTTATTTCTTACCGATAAAATATTCCGGACAGACAGAACATTTTGGTACTGTTCCCGTGTCCTAGAATTTCGTGATGTCTGTTTAGTTTTTGTTTGTGTGTATTTTCACTACAATAGAAACGCTAGAATTTATGTCTGAAATATAGATGGAATTAGTAGAGTGATTGGGGCTTTGAGTGCGGCATTTATTTGTGGGTAAGAATGGAGTGATTTTTTTTTTAAGAGTGGTGTTGTAGTCTTAAGATTAGTTGCCCCATACACTCACCTATACCATCAACCAACTACACCCACCACCCACACAATCCACCTCCATCACCCACTCCCTAAACTCACCCGCCACCACCTACTCCCTACATTCATCCCCCAAACATAACCCATCACACCCACCCCCACATACCACCCACCCACACACACCACCCACCCACACACAAGGCACCCTGGACAGGCTACAGGCATGGACTACGGAGAACAAGGTCACCATCAACCACACCAAAACCGTAGTCATGCACATCAATACCGCCACCACTCCAGTGCAAGCCCCAGCAGTCACAGTGGGTGCCCATCCTCTCTAGCTGGTGCAGTCTGCCAAACTCCTGGGTGTAACTATAGACAACAAACTTGACTGGATGGCCCATGTAAATAACACAGTCAAGGCAGCCTCGTACCGTCTCTACATGCTACGACGACTTAGGTCACTTGGGACACCCACGCCAGAGCTAAGGACCATCTACAACGCCTTTATTCTCCCCCAAACTAACGTATGCGTCACCAGCTTGGTCGTCTTCTCTCAACTCCACCCAACAACGTCAGCTAGAGAAGGTACAGAAAAGGGCCTGCAGAATCATGCTCGGCGCAGAATACTCCGGCTACACCAACGCGCTCTCCACCCTGGAAATGCCATCCCTCAGTAACCTCCACCACCAAGCACTGGAAAGGTTTGGCAGCCAATTAATGCACCACCCTCGTCATCGCCACCTCCTGCCACAGGCAGCCCCCCGCCCACCTAGGGCAGTCCGCCACTACAACAAAATTCAGCCCATAAGAGCCCGCACCGATAGATATAAGAATAGCACCATCCCATCTATTGTTAAAATAATAAACAACTCCTGTAAATGTATTCAATGCATATTATATCATTGTCTAAATCAAATGTAAGTCTGTATATTTTCAGCCACCGGCTGCAACTCTATTAATAAACCGTTTATTATTATTATTATTATTTACCACCCATCCACACACACCACTAACCACCCGCACCACCTACCCTATCGTATCCTACACCACCCACCACTCACACCACCCGGCAAGAATCTTGGTGTTGTGTGTGCATTAATAACAATAAAGACTAATAATGCAAATAAAGACAAATAATAATAATAATAATAATTAATGGTTTATTGATAGAACATGGCAACCAAAGGGCTGAAAATATAGTCGAGACAGAGTTATATGACTGGGGAATGGGTCAGTTGGGTCACTTTACAAATAATATACATGCGATATAAGTGGTACAGTACATAAACAATATATAATAATAAGAGGGGGGGGGAAGGGTCCATTTCAATAAGTAATTTCAGTACAGTAACAGTACATGAGTAATATTGACAGGGAATGAACAAACAGATTAACTACGAGTTGTTGGTATTTTTTAGCAATGGCTGTTCTTATAACAATCAGTATGTGGTCATAAACGCTAGATGAGGTTGTAGTGTTGAGCATTAATTCGCAGACATGGGATCTCAGGTGGGAGCAGGGCACGGTATCGAGGATGGTGCAGAAACTTCTTCCCAAACTTGCAGATGAAGTCAAGCTGATGATCTAAGAGGGTCAGTGTACTAAGCGTTTCCTGATATGTGGAGTAGGAATGAGAGAGAATAACTTGCACGCCCTCTTCTACACTTTTCCTAGGTGTTCTCGTTGTGTGGCACTTGAGGAGGAAGACCAGGCAGGAGAAGCATTGGTGAGCACTCTACAGCTCAGGTGAGGGAACTCCTATAGAGACTTGAGACGACGGAGGAGGTGGGCACAAAATTCAGGAAGATTAGAGGTGTGCTTTCCAATTCAATTTGTAATATATAGTGATGCCGAAGAGCTTGGTGGAGTCCACAACCTGGAGTGTGTTGGGGCCCAGTGTGATGGAGGGAGTGGATCATGGTCGAGGGAGAGGTTGATGTGCATAACAACGTTCTTGAAGTGACGGGGTTGGTGGTGGCTCAATTTTGGAGACGGTTTAATATGTTCTGGCGAGCGCTGTAGTCGAGAACCGAGCTGTTCACACTGATGTTAATGGTGGAGTCGTCGACATATTTCAAGCGAGTGGGAATTTCTCGAAGGGCATCGTTGATGAGGATAAGGAAGCAGAGCGGTCCCTTCTTGGTGACCCCAAAGGTAAGTGACTGATAGGTTGTGACAGCCCTTTGGAAGCGCATAGTTTGGCATCGGTTACTAAGGAAGTCTGTAAGACAAGGTATAAGACTTCTCTGAAACCAGAGGTCGATGGCTGTATTTATAATTAAATTGTGGTTGACCAAGTCGAATGTCATGGTGAAGTAAAAAAGGCGACAGCTACAGACGAACATCACAATCTAAAGAATGACTGGTTTAAAAATAAATCATGTGAAACACAAAAATTTGCAGATCAACACAAGGTGCGCGAATTTTTCTATTCCACTAAAACATTTTGTGGGCAAATCAACCGTGGCGCAGCCCCCCCTCGGCTCACCCGATGGTAACTCCTTAATTAAAGAAGATGAAGGCATCCTTCAGCGCTGGAAAAAGCACTACCATTCACTGCTCAACCGAAACACAGATGTGGATGTCCTGACTACCCAGCAGGTCCCTCAGCATCCAGAGCTGACCCACCTCAGCTCTCCTCCAACCCTGGATGAGGTGGGTACTGCCATCAAACAGATGAAAAATAACAAAGCCTCAGGGCCTGATGGAATACCAGCCGAGGTGTATAAAGCAGGAGGACCTCTGTTGCCAACCGTCTCCGCTCTCTCCTGGAGAATATATGGGAAAAGAGGAAATCCCCCAAGCTCATGAAGACGCCTCCATCGTCAATATTTATAAGAACAGGGAAGACCGGGCAGTCTGTGGCAACTACGGCGTCACACTACCTGTAGGGCCCGCGTCACACTATCTGTAAGTGCCGCGTCACACTAGCTGTAAATGTACGGGCCGTGTCACACTAACTGTAGGAACCGCGTCCCACTACCTGTAGGGGCCGTGTGTCACTATCTGTAGGGGCCGCGTCACACTATCTGTAGAGGCCGCGTCACACTATCTGTAGGGGCCGCGTCACACTACCGGTAGCGGCAGCGTCACACTACCTGTAGCGGCCGCGTCACACTACCTGTAGTGGCCGCCCCACACTACTTGCAGCGGCCGCGTCACACTACCTGTAGTGGCCGTGTCACACTACCTGTAACGGCCGCGTCACACTACCTGTAGTGGCCGCGTCACACTACCTGTAGCGGTCGCGTCACACTACCTGCAGCGGTTGCGTCACACTACCTGTAGTGGCCGTGTCACACTACCTATAATGACCTCGTCACACTACCTGTGGTGGCCGCGCCACACTACCTGTAGTGGCCGCGCCACACTACTT